GTTTTGTTTATTCCGACTACGACCATTTCACTGGATCCAGATATTTGTGGAGACGATAGATTTCCTACAATGAGGTCCTCATTGGTAGCCCTTGTTGCCTTTTCAATGTTGTCGTATAGCTCATCCACATCTGTGGACATTCTCAAATCATATTCGTGAACTGAAATGTAATCATAAAATTATTATACGTTGGCAGCATAACTATAGCTGTGAAAAGATCGGTAGAAATCTAATATTGTTTCACTGATGAATTCGATATATGATCAAAATGTACATCAGCAGATATATAATTCTAACTATTTATTCACCTATTCCTCTATCATAAGTCATCACCGACGGCTGTCCACGTCAACTTGATAGTTCCATTGTCATATGACTGTTCTTCAATCTTCAGATCTGATATACGGGATGGTGGATATATATCTTTTGGGTCTGTGCCTGGTGGCGGTCCTCCATCCACATCGAATGCACCACCTGAAGATGATCTTGTGAACAGATCTGCCGGCACTGTTGTTGTGTGTATTCCCTGTAAATCTGATACAATACATATACTAAAACGCCTAGAACTAACTTTTTTAAATTATACACGTTTGAATTAACCGATACACGAGACAGCGGAGTGAGAATATATTTTACATTACTCCTTCTTGAGTGAGTGTTGGCTTACCTGGATTCATTGGTAAAGTTGCACTCAACGTTTCATATGACTTGATCATTGCGGTGCCAGCTGTATTTCTAACATTAATTTTCACTCCATATCTGCACGTGGTACTACACGATGAGAAATCCAGAAAGTATGCTGAATACACGCCATCATTTTTAATAACGTCTCCACCTGCAATATTATAGTTGTCTATTGAAGTCGTTGGTTTTATTTTCTTATCTACACTCGTGTGACATTAGTTATGTGCAATGTATTATTACAGTGAATTATTGGCAACTGGACATAGACACTTTGAACATTATTGTGGAGTATTATTGAGTATGTATAACGGAAAACATTACTGTGAATGAAAATACTTTAGTGTGCCTCCGATGACCAGCCTATTTTTCAAAAAATTATGGCTGTATTATTATAGTGAATGTCGTCTGTATTAAAATGTTTTACCACTGATTCTTATGGTGAATACATCAAACTAAGATTTGCCTCCCCAATGTGTTTATTGTTCATCGAGGCACAGCCGAAGTCGTAAAAATAATTGCCACATCAGGGAGACGCATTTTCATATATTCCGAAGCTTACAGTTAATAATTATATTTTCATCTCAAATTATGGAGTTTACTTGTCAAAATCGTGTGGTGATTTGAATGTACGTGGTCTCGGGATAAGTGCTTCAACGCGGCGTCCAGCAACCTAGCAACACAGTCCCAGGACAACAGATATGTACAAGGAGACATTAATTCTTATTTTCAAGAATATTTTGAATGTCGTATAGTCATCTGCCGACCCCTTCGCCAGCCTGGTTGCGCGTTTGTTTGCGTGTTCAAATTGCGTTGTGTTATGCGCCAGTCAATGTAAATGACTTTCTCAATTATGTGTAAGCTTCAACCTTAGATACGATTTATCGTAAAAATAAAAACACTGCTATGTTGGATGCCAAAGGAAAGATTTGTTATGTGGATGCAATATTGTACAATATGGTAACCCGGTCAGAATACTTATTTAGATTGCAACTTTGACAATTAATAATTCATTTTTTTAGACAAGATGGTTACAATCAATCGTACAATCATTCATCACTTTGTCACGATCAACAACGGTAACTCTGAACAATCAAAATCGATCTAGTGTCATGAATTAGTTTTCGCGTATCTGTTGACTGACTTATTATTTGTTTACTAGTGAATGGCTGTGTTATGGCTGTGAACTTGACACAGTGATTTGGAACTAATTACGATATAACCGTCGCCATCCGGACTGCTAATACTGACAGTTGGTATTTGCAGTTATTAATATAGTGAACGATTAATCAAAAGATATGACGTGTCCAGTACTTGATTGGCTATGTGCAAGTTGAATGTGTGAAGGTTACGCCTTATGTCTTTAGACTTCTTTGTAATTGGTTAAGTTTTCATACGTAATAAACGGTCTAAGTCCTTGGTCCAAGAGAGAGTTTCACGAGGCGAGAGAGTCTTGGTCAGTCCGGAGCAGAGACTTCGACGAGGCAGTTTGACTTAAGGCGTTCTCGATGTGGCTAAAGACTAGCTATTGAAACGTATTTTATTGTGTGCGTCTATTTGACTGTAAAGCTTAAGTGACGTGATATAGAGACAGACGAATTTCCCCCCTGACACGTGTTGGAGAAACCCGGGCAAGACGAATTTCCCCCCTGACACGTGTTGGAGAAACCCGGGCAAGACGAATTTCCCCCCTGACACGTGTTGGAGAAACCCGGTCAAGACGAATTTCCCCCCTGACACGTGTTGGAGAAACCCGGGCAAGACGAATTTCCCCCCTGACACGTGTTGGAGAAACCCGGGCAAGACGAATTTCCCCCCTGACACGTGTTGGAGAAACCCGGGCAAGACGAATTTCCCCCCTGACACGTGTTGGAGAAACCCGGGCAAGACGAATTTCCCCCCTGACACGTGTTGGAGAAACCCGGGCAAGACGAATTTCCCCCCTGACACGTGTTGGAGAAACCCGGGCAAGACGAATTTCCCCCCTGA